TACTGCTGTTTAATGAGAAACTATTTGTTCTGTAAACCTTCACCTGAAGTACAATTTAAACAAAAAAAAAGAGTAAAAAAAAATTGTATAAAGGCTTTATAATAAGGTTGCGGAAATGATTATTGTAATAATAAATTTTAAAAAGCAGAACAGAAAAGTTGAATATGTGATGTCAACTCAACAACGGAAAACCTATGATTGTAGACTGAAAAAAAAATTTACCAAATTTTAATAACACTTGTTCTTTCTCTTTTCCATATTCCTTTACAAAAATATTTCTGTTCTGAGGTTCTGTTATTACTCCCAATTTACAGAAGAGGAAACTGAGGCTTAGTAAGCTAAGTAACTTGGCCTACAGCCAGTAAACCAGTTGCTGTTGAGTCGATTCTGACTCATGGCATCCCCATGTGTGTCAGATTAGAACTGTGCTTCTAGGGTTTTCAGTGGCTGCTTTTTCAGAAGCAGATTGCCAGGCCTTTATTCTGAGGCACCTCTGGGTAGACAGAAACCTCCAACCTTTGGGTTAGCAGCCAAGTGCCTTAACTGCTTGTACCACCTAGGGTCTTAAGCCAGAATGTAAACCTAAAGCAGTATGACTAGTGGGTAGTGCTTTAGGGAAGTAAAGAATGATGTGGACTGGATGGAGAGACTCATTGGATATAATAAAAATAGGTAATTAGTAATCTTTGAGAGAATAGTTTTTAGACTGGTAAATCTCAGAAACTAGATTTGAATAAATTGAGAGATTAGACAAAATTTAAAAAGGGTATGATAGCAAGGTCAAATGAAAGGCATTAGGGGTTGTGTTGATTTGTTTATTTGTTTTAAAAAAGAAGGAAGTCCTGATCATGTTGGCTAGATAAGAACAGTCCCTGGAGAGGATAAAACGAAAGACGTTAGGTAAGAGAGAAGTCTTGGTGGTAGTGGGACAGGTTAGCTTTAGAAGAGAAAACTTTTTCTCTTGAGGCTGAAGCAAAGAATGGGAAGATGTTGGCAGAATGATTTGCTGGTGGGGAGGCAGGATTATGTGAGGGTCTCATTCTTTTTGGTAAAGTAGAAAGCTATCATCTTAATGAAAAAGAGGCAAAATTAAGAAAATAAAAATATAAAGAACAAGGAGAACATCTAGAATAGTTGCTATGAGTAGAATGCTAGAGAGTCAGTAGGAAATGGAGGAAAAAAGCTTGTTAAAAACCACAGTGGACCAGGTTGTAGTTGGACAACATAGCTCTGTAATGAGACAGTAATATAGGAGTACATACAAGAGTCTGCCTTTACTTTCTAGGCAAACGAGTTTGGGCTTGCAGAAAAGAATTTGGGAATTCTTTCCCTCCACAGCCACAGAGAGGGATAGATGTACAACTTGGTTCAAAAATTATCTAGCCCCTACACTGCTTTGGAACTCTTGTAGCTTGTAAGACTTAATTAAACTCTTTTATCTTAAAGTTTGTATATAAAAGCAGTACAGTCTTATAGTGAAAAGAGCACTGAGTTTAGAGGTCAAAAGATCCTACCATTTTCGCATTTTTTCAAAATGTAGATAGTAACAAATGAACCTACCTGTATTACAATATGATAGAACCATTCTAAAGGGACTAAAGAAGAAAAGAACTAATCTAAGTAACTTTGAAAAACTGGTTTGACTATATACTGTATACAAAAGAACTTTACACATATATTGTAAGCTAGTTAGTAAATTTGTTTTTCTTAGGGCTGTGGGTTAGCAATTTTGAAACTGCTTTGTGTGTATACTCCAAACTCGTTGCCGTAGAATTGATTCCAATTCATAGAGACCATATAGGACAGAGGAGAACTACCCCACAGAGTTTCCAAGGAGCACCTGGTGAATTCGAACTGCCAACCTTTTGGTTAGCAGGTGTAGCTCTTAACCATTATGCCACCAGGGTTTCCATGTGTATACTAGGATTAAGCAAATAATATCTAAATATGTTGCAGATAATGAGAGCTAGGTTTTTCGCTATCTGAGAAAGGAGTTACAAATAAGAAATTGGTGGGGGGGTGTCATAATGAATCCTGGGGTTTGGATCAGAATTGGAGGTATCAGCATGAACTCATGTTTTTAATGTATATACAGAGAGATAGAAATAGATATATAGGGGTGTGTGTCTGTTTATCCTACTTCTATCTACTGAGACGGCCTGAAAGCAATGATAACCCAATAGCAGTGAGCCTAACTAGTGCCTAGAGTTTGGTTTCTAAGTATTATTCTCCCATAAAAGAAACCAGGAATCTGTTGAGAATGGCTGATTCTAGGGCTGGGTCAGGGAAAGTATAAGATGAGCCTGGAACACCTTGTGTTGTCAGAAGGTAAGGAAGGACTCAAAAAGTAAAGGGAGCATGTCAGAAGGACACAGGCCAGATTGAAGGAGTTCCCAACGGTCGAATCTGGAACAATTTGAGCAACAAAATAAATAATAACAGTAATAGATTAAAACACACAAAAGCAATAATCTGATGCAAATAAATGAATAAATACAGGGAAAGGGACAGTTCATCCTTATAGGAGCATTCCCGTTACTAACTGTAGAACGAGTGATGGAAATAGAAAATCACCATTTGGTAAACACCACAGTAAAAATTGTGGGAGGCAAGAACCATTGATGGATGCTAAAATTAGTGGGCAAAAATGTTATGAGAAATGGGATATTTGCATAGTTTCAAAGCATCTCCTCACAAAATACTTATTAATTAATTAAAACTTATTAATTGTAAAATACTAACTTTACAGTGGAGAATCCTGGAAAACACAACCTTAACTAAGTGATCAAAGTTCCCATCACTAATAATAGGACACTGACAGACTGAGAAGAACCCAACCCCCATTCTGTGGTAATCTTGCCAAAATGGCATACCCTCAATCTAATCATGAGAAAACATTAGACAAGTCCAAATTGAGGGATATTCGACAAAATAACTGGCCAGTACTCTTCAAAAGTGTCAAGATCATGAAAGGCAAAGACTGGGGAACTGGCCCAGATTGGAGGAGACAGGACAATTAAACGCATTGTGGGATTCTGGATTGGATCCTGGAGCAGAAAAAGGACATAAGTAGGACACTTGGAAAAATTCAAATAATGTCTGTAGATTTGTTGCTGCTGTTGTTAGCTGCCCTCGAGTTGGCCCCCAACTCATGGTGACCTTGCGCGCAACAGAAGAAAACGCTGCCCAGTCCTGCGCCATCCCCATGATTGGTTGCAGATTGGACCGGTGTGATCCATAGGACTTTCATTAGCTGATTTTCAGAAGTAGATCACCAAGCCTTTCTTCCTAATCTGTTTTAGTCTGGAAGCTCAGCTGAAACTTGTTTAACATCTGTTATGTATTGAATTGTATCCCCCCAAAAATGTGTCAACTTGGCTAGGCTATGATTCCCAGTATTGTATAGTTGCCCTCCATTTTGTGATCTGATGTATTTATTCTAGGTGTTGTAAATCCTACTTCTATTATGTTAGTGAGACAGATTAGAGGCAGTTATGTTAATGAGGCAGGGCACACACAATCTACAGGATTAGGTTGCATCTTGAGTCAATCTCTTGAAATATAAAAGAGAAGCGAGCAGAGAGGAGAAGGACCTCCTACCACCAAGACAGAAGAGCCCAGAGTGGAGTGCATCCCTTGGACTTGGGTTCCCTGCACGGGAAGATTGATGCAAGGACCTTCATCTGGAGCCGACAGAGAGAGAGAAATCCTTCCCCTGGAGCTGGCACCCTGGATTTGGACTTCCAGCCTCCTAAACTGCGAGAGAATAAATTTCTCTTTGTTAAAACCATCCACTTGTGGTATTTCTGTTATAGCAGCACTAGATAACTATCATGGATTGAATTATGTCCCCCCAAAAAATGTGTGTATCAATTTGGCTAGGCCATGATTCCCAGTATTGTGTGATTGTCCTCCATTTTGTGATTGTAATTTTACGTTAAAGAGGATTAGGGTGGGATTGTAACAGCACCCTTACCCAGGTCACATCCCTGATCCAATGGAAAGGGAGTTTCCCTGGGGTGTGGACTGTACCACCTTTTATCTATCAAGAGATAAAAGGAAAAGAAGAAAACAAACAGTTGGCAACCTCATACCACCAAGAAAGCAGCACCAGGAGCAGAGCGCGTCCTTTGGACCTGGGGTCCCTGCGCCTAAGAAGCTCCTTGACCAGGGGAAGATTAATGAGAAGGACAGAGAGAGAGCCTTCCCCTAGAGCTGACGCCCTGAATTTGGACTTCTAGCCTACTAGACTGTGAGAAAATAAATTTCTCTTTGTTGAAGCCATCCACTTGTATTTCTGTTATAGCAGCACTAGATGACTAAGACAATAACTAAGACAGTATCATAGCAACATGCAAGCATCCACTGACAGGTGGTGGCTGTGCATGATGTGCATTGACTGGGAATTGAACCAGGGTCTCCCACATGGAAGGTGAGAATTCTGCCACTGAATTAGTTAATAGTATTTAATTAATGTTAATTTTTTGGTTTAGAATAGATCATTATACTATGGTTATATGTAAGCTGTTAACATTATCTAGGTGAAAGGTGTAAGAAGTCAGTACTATATCTCCAACTTTTTTGTAAATATAAAATAAAAAATTAAAAAAAAAAAGATCCTGGTTTTAGATTTACTACTAACTACTATAAGTCACATACACATAACCACTCTGAGACTTAATTTCTTTTCCCATGAAGTAGGCATAACAATGTCTGCTTTATCTAGCTCAGAGACATGATAAAGTTCAAGTGAGACTTTGTTAATTGTAAGACAGGACACAAATATAAGGTATCATTGTGTTTATAATAGGTGACATTGAAATAAACTGGCTGTCTTTGTGATTCTACCAATAAAACCAATTAACCTGATTTTCTGTCATGGATAAAATTTACCAAAAAGGGCTCTTCCCTCTGTATTGATCAGTTTCTTTCATCTTTATAGCATTTCAGGCTGCCTTCCGAGCCCAGGGGCCTCTGGCCATGCTGGAGCACTTTGATACTGTCTACAGCATTATACAGTAAGTAAAGTATCCAGCTGGTATTTTAAAAGGAACCCATGGTTCTTTGTCTTAATTTTGCATGTTAGTGCTGAAATTCCAAATTGTAGGTTCACTGATGAATGGTTCTTGGTGCTGATATCTCTATTGATGACCATTTATCCCAACTTGTCACCATATTTATTCAGTTAAGCAATTTCACATGTGTTTTTAAATATTAGATTGCTCGGGTTAGATCTGTTAGAATGGACTCTGCAGGTTCCTGTCTTACTCCTGCACTTTCTTTCCCTCGTAGTCACTTTCGAAGTATAGATCCTGGCCTCAAGGAAGATACTCTGGAATTCCTGATAAAAGGTGTTTATGGGTCCGGGGTAGGGGATGGAAGGTGGGTTTTGGTTGTTGTTCTTATTTGTTTACTATTTCCTATATTTTATTAGCCACATGATGATATCAAGGCTGTTGTGATTCAGTTGGTTTGGCTAAGTCCCGGGACCTTTGACCTTCTATTAAGGTCTGTAATCTTGGTGGATGATACAGAGTTGTGTGCTTTCGCTGTAAGGGCAGACCAACAGGAAGTTTGTCCTACTTTTGAACTACCACTGTAACAGGGGTGATTATCCAGTTGCCAGAAAGAAACCGTGGTAGCTGGAGTGAGAGAGTAGGGACAGGGTATGTTCAGGGTACCTGGGTCAGAGGTCCTAAAGGACTTAGCTTGTATTGTGACCACTGAGAGATGAGACACAGATCTTTGGTAATCTGATGGCTGCAAATGCTGAATGTTTTAAGGTTGGAGTATATGGGGAAAGTGAGTGAAACTGACTCCCAGATTCTGCCCCTCACAGTGGTATCCCGCCATTCCCAAGAACTTCCAGCTATCTTGGATGATGCAGCTTTGAGTGTGTCAGATAGAAGCGCCCACCTAAATGCCCTCAAAATGAACTGCTATGCTCTGATCCGCCTTTTGGAAGCCTTCGAGACCATGACCAGCCAGACAAACCTCACGGACCTGGACCTTGGTGGGAAGGTAATTTGGAATTCCTGGCTAACTTGATTTGGGATGTGGTAGGGTAAGGGAATTGATGAGATAGAAGGGAATCCAAGGATCTGAGAATCCTGTGTCCTCATTTCAGGTTTATGAGGAAATACTCAAAACCATCACAGCATATCCTTCCCTGATAAGCAGCTCTTCTGTATTTTGGAACTTGTAGTGCCTCTTCTGTATTACCTTCTATCTTGTCTTGATCCTGGATAGTTTGGGCACTCAAAGACCAGTGGATCTTTACCCTCTGTGTTTCCTTATTGTTTTCATAAATGTGTACATGATCCTTTCCAGGGTAAGAAAGCCCGGGCCAAGGCAGCCCATGGCTTTGACTGGGAAGAAGAGAGGCAACCAGTTCTTCAGCTTTTAACACAGCTGCTGCAGCTGGACATTCGTCACCTTTGGAACCACTCAATAATTGAAGAGGAATTTGTCAGGTGAGTAATTAAAATGGCTACAGATAATACTGAGCTGTGAAGAGTGAGGGTTCTGTTGCTAGATAGGCCCTTTAAATACTTCATTTCATGCCTCAGCTCTATCTGTAACACATACATGTACAGCCATATCATGGAGTTGTTAGAAAGTAGTTAATGGAATTTGAGAAACTGCTGTGAATTTATCATCTCTAATGCCTGTTTATCCATTAATAAAACATATTTACTGAGAATCTCCTAGGTTCATGGCAGGCATCATTATAGGCACTGGAAATAGTAGTTTCTGCCCTCTTGGAGTTTATACAATAGGAAGGAACGCGATTTTTAAAATAGGTAAAATATATAGTATATTTTATGGTTTATTACTCTGGAGAAAAATAAAGTAGGGGGGTGGGAAGATGGAGGATTACAGTTTTAAATCAGCTGTTCTAGCAAAAGACTTCTTTGAGACAGTGACATTTGAGCAAAGACTGAGAAGAGATGAATGAGAGCTATGAGAATGTTTGGAGGAAGAACATTCCAGGAAAAGTAACAAATGAGTGCAAAGACCCCTGAGGAGGGAGAGTGTCCAGTGTGTACAAGTAATGGCAGTGAAGCTAGAGAAACAGCAGCTGAACAAGGGCAAGAGAGATGGGCTATGAGCTCAGGGGAATAGTGGGAAGCCAAACTGCCAAGCCTGTAGGCCTCCATGATGACTTTGGCATTTTCTTAGAGATGAGGCGGCTGGAGGGTTCTGAGCAGAGCAGTGAGGTGTTCTGACTTGCCCTTTAGTGAGGTCATCGCAGCTGATGTGTTGAAACAGACTGTGGTGGGAAAGGGGAGAAGCTGGTGGCCAGTTAGGAGGCTATTGAAGTAACTCAGGCAAAAGATGGTGGCTTACACCAAGGAGTAGCAGTGGAGATGGGGAAAAGTGGTTGGATTCCATCCTTGTTTTCTTAGGTACAGCTTAGGGGATTTACTGGCCGGTTGGATGTGAGGTATGAGGGAAAGTGGATAACTGAGAGGGACTGAGAGTGGGATCTGTGAGGATGACTCTTCCAGAGTTTTGGCCTGAGCATCTGGAAGAATGGAGTTGCTAGTAACCGAGATATAGGGGAGGCTGTGGGGAAAGATCAGAAGTTCTGTTTTGGAAATACAAAGTTTGAGGTGCTTATTAGACACCTAAGTAGAGATGGCAATTTTGGCTGTTGCATGTACAAATCTGGAGGTCAGGAGAGTGGTCTGGGCTAGAGATTACACATTTGGGAATACAGTGGTATTTATATAAATGATATTTAAAGCCATGAAACAGAACGAGATCACGAAATTAGTACGTGTAGCTAGAACAGAGCAGAAATCCGAGGACTATACCCTAGGGCACTCCAGCATTCATGGGATGGAGGAGCCAGCCAAAGAAACTGAGAAGGGAATCTGACATCCTGGAAGCCATTTAAGCGTATATTTCAAGGAGAAAGGAGTGACCAACTGTGTCTAAATGCAGCTGAAAGTTTAAATGAGGACTGGATGGACCATTATATTTAGCAGTGAGAAGTAACTGGTGACTTTGTCCTATCTTTTATTATGTATTTAGGTACTGTGTGACCATCATAACTAGTTGAAAGTTGGTAATCCTGGAAGGAGTACCTATCTGGGGTCAGCTCAACAAAACAACTTGGTATAGAAGATGGTAGATAGAATGAAAAAAACTAGAAGACCCTGTTAGGGCAATAGGGATAAAATATGAATGAGGCAGGACCCTGATAGGATTCAGTCTAGACAGCTGATGCCATCATCTCGCTCTCTTCCTGCAGTTTGGTTACTGGTTGCTGCTACCGCCTCCTGGAGAACCCTACCATTAGTCACCAGAAGAACCGCCCCACCCGGGAAGCCATAACACATCTGCTGGGTGTGGCCCTGACACGCTACAACCATATGCTCAGTAAGTTATCCCTTTGCTCTGCACCACCCTTCTCATGTTGCCTGTAATTTCTTATGGTCAGTACTTCCACAGGTGCCGCTGTGAAGATTATCCAGATGCTGCAGCACTTTGAACACCTGGCATCTGTACTGGTGACAGCTGTGAGTCTTTGGGCAACGGATTATGGAATGAAGAGCATAGTGGGAGAGATTGTTAGGTGATTCTTCTCACTTAGAGTTTCTAATTCTTATATCCTTGGGGAGAAGATAAAGATTGCAAAGATAGTCTCTGTATAACGTTAGATCTCTTCAGATATTAGACACCAGTCTTACTTCCCCTTACTGGGAACTGAGTAACTGAGTTATCTTGCTATGGCTGTGTTTTCTTCCCTGTGTAGGGAGATTGGACAGAAGTGTCCCCAGGAGCTGAGTCGGGACCCTTCAGGGGCAAAGGGCTTTGCAGCTTTCCTGACAGAACTAGCAGAACGTGTCCCAGCTATCCTGATGTCCAACATGTGTGTTTTGCTAGATCACCTGGATGGAGAGGTAGGTGATCCCCTGGGGACCTCTGAGGCTTTTCTGGTAAGTTTAAAGTCCATTGTTGACAGGCTGTTTCTTTTTTGTTTGTTTGTTTGTTTATTTTATTGTGCTTTAGGTGAAAGTTTACAGCTCAAGTTTGTTTCTCATACACACATTGTTATGTGACCCTAGTTGCTATCCCTATAACGTGACAGCACATTCCTCCTTTCCTCCCTGGATTTCCTGTGTCCATTCAGCCAGCTCCTGTCCCTTTCTGCCTTCTCGTCTCGCCTCTGGACAGGAGCTGCCCATTTAGTCTTGTGTATCTTCTTGAAATAAGAAGCACACTCTTCATGAGTATCATTTTATTTCTTATAGTCCAGTCTGTTCTTTGAAGAGTTGGCTTCGGGAATGGTTTTAGTTCTGGGTTAACAGAGAGTCCGGGGGCCATGTCTTCTGGGGTTCCTCTAGTCTCAGTCAGAACATTAAGTCTGGTCTTTTTACTAGAATTTGAGTTCTGCACCCCACTTTTCTATTGCACCTCATCAGGGACTCTGTTGTTTTCCCTGTCAGGGCAGTCACTGGTGGTAGCCAGGCACCTTCTAGTTCTTCTGGTCTCAGGCTGATGGAGTCTCCAGTTTATGTGGTGCTTTTTGTCTCTTGGGCTAATATTTTCCTTGTGTCTTTAGTGTTCTTCATTCATCTTTACTCCAGGTGGGTTGGGACCAATTGATGCATCTTAGATGGCCACTTGCTAGCTTTTAAGACCCCAGACGCCACTCACCAAAGTGGGACGCAGAACAGTTTCTTAATAAACCTTATTATGCTAATTGACCTAGATATCCCCCGAAATGATGCTCCCCAGACCCCTGCCCCTGCTATACTGTCCCTCAAAGTGATTGTGTTCAGGAAACCTCTTAGCTTTTGGTTTAGTCCAGTTTTGCTGACTTTTCCCTGTATTGTGTATTGTCCTTCCCTTCACCTAAGATAATTCTTGTCTGCTATCTAGTTAGTGAATTCCCCTCTCCCTCCCTCCCCATATGTTTAAACCTTTCCTTGAGTTCTTATAGTAGTGGTCTCACACAATATTAGTCCATTTGCGGTTGACTAATTTCACTCAGCATAATGCTTTCCAGATTCATCCATGTTATGAGATGTTTTGCAGATTCATCATTGTTCTTTATCATTGCGTAGTATTCCATTGTGTGAATATACCGTAATTTGTTTATCCATTCATCTGTTGATAGGCATCTAGGTTGTTTCCATCTTATTGCTATTGTGAACAGTGCTGCAGTGAACATGGGTGCGCATGTATCTATTTGTGTGACAGCTCTTATTTCTCTAGGATATATTCCAAGAAGTGGGATTGCTGGATCATATGGTGCTTCTGTTTCCAGTTTTTTAAGGAAGTGCCAAATCAATTTCCAAAGTGGTTGTACCGTTTTACTTTCCCACCATCAGCGTATAAGTCTTCCAGTCTCTCCACAACCTCTCCAACATTTATTATTTTGTGTTTTTTGGGATAAATGCTAGCCTTGTTGGGGTGAGACGGTATCTTATTGTAGTTTTGATCTGCATTTCTCTAATGGCTAATGATCGTGAGCATTTCTTCATGTATCTGTTAGGCTGTTTCTTAACAGACAAAGAAGATAGCTTTCCACATGAAATCAACATGTCTAAGCTTATCAATGTGGCAGTTCCTTCCTGTAGAGAAGCAGATCAAGTTTATTAAATAAGGAGCCTTTATTACTTCTATTTCATGATCACATTGGTTTTATCCAAGTCTGTAGGGGAATATGACAGTTCCTTCTCTGCTATAAGTATAGTGACAGTGACAGCTTTGATTCTGAGTTCCATCCATTCCCTCAGGAAGAGGCCTCTTGCTACCATCTGATTCACCTTGCTTTCTCCAAACAATGAGCTTTCTCAAATCAGCTCGTATCATCTCTGCATTCTCTGTTATTCTTGGATGCTAACCTGGCTCCTTCCCAGGCTGATGCTGGGCACTCCTAGATGAACATCAAGGACAAAGACAGTTGTCTTAGTCATCTAGTGCTGCTATAACAGAAACACCACAAGTGGATGGCTTTAACAAAGAGAAATTTATTCTCTCACAGTCTAGTAGGCTACAAGTCCAAATTCAAGGTGTCAGCTCCAAGGGAAGGCTTTCTTTGTCGGCTGTGGAGGAAGATCCATGTCATCAATCCTCCCTTGGTCTAGGAGCTTCTCAGCACAGGAACCTCAGATCCAAAGGACATGTTCTGCTTCCAGTACTGCTTTCTTGGTGGTATGAGGTTCCCCAATCTCTGCTTGCTTCCCTTTCCTTTTATCTCTTATAAGATAAAAGGGGGTGCAGGCCACACCCCAGGGAAAGTCCCTTTACATTGGATCAAGGATGTGACCTCAGGGTGTTATAATCCCACCCTAATCCTCTTTAATGTAAAATTACAATCACAAAATGGAGGACAACCACACAATACTGGGAATCATGTCCCAGCCAAATTGATACACACATTTTGAGGGAGACATAATTCATGACAACAGTCTACTCGTTCATTGATTTATTTTAACTTCTTGTTCAAGACCCTGTTGTCTGGCTCTTGGCCTGGCAAAAACCCCTTACTCTGTTTACCACCATATTCTGTAATGGACTTGTTTGGCCCCCTAGGGCTAAATTTTGCTTTTCTGTATCTCATTCTCTGTTAGTATGATGTGGGAAGGGGATTGGGAGGGAAAGGCGATGTTTATTATTAAAGATCAAAGACTTTGAGACCTCAGATGAAAGATAATAATTAATGCTTTTTAAATGTGTATTGGTAGATGGATGTGATTTCATATTCAGCTGCCACCATGGTTACCTGGGTGAGCCTTGCAGGGAAAATTGTTTTTAGCTTTTGTTTGTTTTGTCCCTACATTCTCCTCTGAGCAAACCAGGACTCTCTGCAATTCCACTTTTCCCTATAACCCCAGAGGTGAATACCTAGGCAATTGACCAGAAAAGTCATAGCTAAGTATAAGCAAGATTAACTTGACTAAAAGCCTTCCCCTCTTTGTACCTGGAAAAGCATGAGAGATTAGGGAAAGGAGAGTTAGTGTTAGAGTGGAGAGCCTGGTGCCAGCTTTACTTTCTCTCTCTTAGAATTACATGATGCGCAATGCTGTGCTTGCGGCCATGGCAGAGATGGTACTGCAGGTTCTCAATAGTGATCAGCTGGAGGAAACAGCCCGAGACACCAGAGACCAGTTCTTGGACACCTTGCAAGCCCATGGCCATGATGTCAACTCTTTTGTGCGGAGCCGTGTTTTGCAGCTCTTCACCCGAATCGTCCAGCAGAAGGTGAGCAACCTTCTACAGCGTAAAGGTAGATGGTACCCACACAAACCAAAGAAAGAAGAAACCAATATTTGAAGATAAATATCTGTTCAAAGAATAGTTCAGCATTCGAATCTTTACTATCAGTAACAAAGGTCTTCCTCTACCAAGGACAAGGATTCCTGGCTCCATTTAAGGACAATAATCTATCTTACCCACTACAAAGAATACTCCTTAACTGTTTTAAATCTCATAGGAAAGTTTCTTTAGAATGAATGGGTAGCTTAATTAAGAGTAGACTTCAAATCACCTTGAGCAGAATGGATTATGTGGGATGTGAACTGATCCTTGTCTTCCTGCTACACATAGGCTCTCCCCCTGACCCGTTTCCAGACAGTGGTGGCTTTAGCAGTGGGACGTCTGGCAGACAAATCGGTGCTAGTGTGTAAAAATGCCATCCAGCTGCTGGCCAGTTTTCTAGCCAATAATCCCTTCTCCTGCAAGGTAAGTAGAGTTGATCTATCCAAAAGAGAAGGAAAGCAATAGAAACGGGGATGAAATTACCATATTTTCATGCAAATAAGACGTGCAATATATTTTTTTTTTTACCAACTGCACAACCCCCTTTCACAATATTACACGTGTCATGTGCGTGCATGTGTGCGTGTTATTTACATGGGTGTGTTATTTGTGAAAAATACGGTTATGTGACTTAGTGACCCTGGTATTCATTTTACCTTGGTAGCTTAGTGATACTGACCTTGCTGGACCACTGCAGAAGGAGACCCAGAAATTACAAGAGATGAGGGCCCAGAGGCAAGCTGCAGTTGCTTGTGAGTAATTAGTTACTGCCAAGGAGCCCTCACCCCTGACAGCCTCCTCCCTACAGTCAGTACACGCCAAGGAAAGGGACTCTAAACGAGACTCTCCCATTCAGCCGCAGTGCTAGACCCAGAGGAGGAGTGGGAAGCCATGCTGCCAGAGTTGACATGTACCCTGCAGCAGCTTCTAAAGCTTCCCCAGGAAGAAGAGGAGATTTCTGAGGAAATTACTAATACGGAAACTGCTGAAGAGGTGAAACGACGGATCCATCAGCTGCTTGCCAAAGCTAGTTACAAGTATGTGAAAAAATGAGGTACTTTCTAGTGACCAAAAAATCTTCAGCAATAGATGCTAGGTTACTTCTTAATATCTAGGTTATTTCTTAATATCTGTCTAGTCTAAGTTGATAACTTCTTATGGTTTCTCACCACAACCTTTTGGGTAGTTGGTGTTATCAGATTGTCTTCCCATTTTGCAGATACGAGAACAGGCTAAGGTTAGATGACTTGGCCGTCACACAGCTAATAAGTAGCAGATCTTGGCTTGAGTCTTCTGATTACAAATGCAGAGTTGTTTTGCTTCCACTCGTAAGTTCAAACATATGTCAGAACAAACTTTTAAAAATACTTTTTTTTTAAAAATAGAAATCTACTCTTTAAAACTTAGACAATACCTTCACAGGGTAAAAAATTTAAAATTACAAAAGAACATGCCATGAAAAATCCCCCTTCCAAACCCGTTTCCCAGCCACCTAGTTTCCCTTCTCACAGGGAAGCAATGTTGCTAGTTTATTGATCATCCCTCTAGAGATAACTTAGAGAAATACAGTCAAGTTTATGTTCTGTTTTCCCCCTTTTGGCACACGTGATAGAATTCTATACCTATTGATCTACTACCTTGCTTTATTTCACGTAACTATCTTGGTGATGTTTTCATATTTGTATGCTAATGGTTATCCCATTATTTTTTATGGCTATATAGAATTCTATTGTATGTGTGCCATAAGTTAATTAACCAGTTCCTTATTGAAAGTTTATATTTTGCAAACTTCTTTTAGCAAAGTTTTTAAACAGATGTTTGGAGTAGATTTGTGATTTTAAAAGTTTTAAAAGCCTTGTTTGAGTTCTTTTAAGATAGCAGTAAAGCCTTATCACTTCAGATGTAAGAATAGAAGAA